TCCCCCCCCCCCTTCCCCCCCCCCCCCCACATATCTCCAAAAGCCCTCCTTGTGCACAGGAAGTTAAGATTTCTGACAAAATCAACAGGGTTTTTTTTCCTTTTGCATAACAAAACATTTTCAATAGTATAGTTTGCATAATAGCTCCCAATTGCTTTGCTAAGTTCATTGTAGGGTTTGCATACTCTTTACCCAATCTGACTCCTTGCTATGGAGCAACGCTGTTCTCAATTCAAACATTTTAGTGAACTTGGTCTAGTATGGATTAGCTATGGCCATTGGGTACCATTCGTGAAGATTGTCTCATAATATAAATTTAGCTTAGTCATGTGAGAGTAGCACCATGCAACAGAAGCAGTGGGCATTGAGACCGAGCTGGAAAATTTGGGATGGTTTTTTACATAGGTCAGTTAGTATTGAGCTTAATTGACTATTGACCGCTTACTTAGCAGGCTTTATTAGTGGAAATAGATTATTTAAAAAAAAAAAGAGATTGTTTGGCCTCTAGAAAACCCAGCCATCATTTTACCAAGATACCAATAGTAGATGCTCATCTGAGATTACAATACCCTTTATTCTTTCATTTACAGGTATAACTGTAATCGCTACAATGAGGATGATGCAAAGGCTGCCCGAGATGCACAAGAGGTGAATATATACAAAGTACTAGAAATTTATTGATATTTTTTTTTATTTTGCAGAATGTTTTCATCTAAAGGTCTAGAATATAGTCATACCCCAGTGTAGAAATGTCATGTTTGTCTTTTACTAAAATCTAATAATTTGCCATGTTATACTTTTTTATGTTTGATTTGCTAAAGTATGAAGTAAACATAAATGTTCAATCCTGTTAATAAGAATTTCAGAAAAGCACTAGAGCTAATGTTGCACATTGCATAGTGGACTTGACATGGACACACGATTTTCACTTGACAATCAGGGCTTTAGTGCTGAAGCTTTAACGCTCTAGGCTTGCAACCTTCTTCAACTCATTGACTTGCATCTAAGGGCTGTATATGTCCACTGTTTCACCTTTTAAGTGTGCACATGTAGTTTACATTTTGATTTCTTATCCGATTTGTGGATTGATTTCTTAAGTGATCTCTTTTTTTTTCTTTTCTACCCTCTGCAGCGTTCCAGAGCAGCCTTACAGAGATACTTATTCTACTGCAATCGCTACATGAACCACATGCAGAGCCTGCGATTTGAGCACAAGCTGTATGCCCAAGTCAAACAGAAAATGGAGGAGATGCAGCAGCACAACATGTCATGGATTGAAGTGCAGTTTCTTAAAAAGGCAGTGGATGTGTTGTGCCAGTGCCGCTCCACACTCATGTATACTTATGTCTTCGCATTCTACCTCAAGAAGAACAACCAGTCAATTATCTTTGAGGTAAGCAATACCAGTCTTTGGGGAAAATTTTATGAAGGAGTTTACTCAAATTTTCTTGTGCAGATCACTTGCAGAAATAGCTGCTCTTAAATTATGAATAGACCCTCACTTGCTTTTTGCTCAGATTCTGATGGCTGCAATTTTGTGCAATACTGGTTTTGTATGATTCACAGGACCTTGCCAACTAACTGGTGAAATATATTTTTATGCTTGTGATCAATAGACATGCATTGTTTTCTCATTTGTTTTCTCATAACCTCGTCCATTACTAATGTAATTTATCACAAACAATGGGAATTCTAATGAAGCATAGGAGTTAAATATGTGTAAGCTTTAAAGTGGAACTGTAGCATAAAAGTACATCTTACAAACTGTCAAATTTGAAAGTGTATGCCTTTAAACTGACTGCAAGTTTTTCATTCTGAGAGAGCCATCTTCAGCAGGCATTTCTGATCCATTTTGCTCTCTTATCCTCTGAAGTCAGTTCCATCTTTCATCAGCTGGCTTAATTTTCACTGGTGCTGCCCACAGTGATAATCTCGAACATGGTAACCACCTAAAGACCTACATATAGAGAAAATGTAGAGCCACCTTTTGTTTATGCATTTTACATTAAATCCCCAATTTGAACCTCCTGTTTTATTAACTCTGCCACTATGCATTGCAGAAAAAAGTCTGCTGGAATTTTTCTAGCTATAATGAATTCCCCTCCACCAAAATGTCTTCAAAGTTGTTTACTAACTCATATCTTTTACACTGGAAAGCATCCTTTTTGTTTTCAGATGCATGTAACATTCATAATTGAAATTTAAGACTTCTTATAAAATTTGCCATGCAGATTTGTGTACATGGGGATCACATTGTAAGGTTGTCTTTACTTTATTTGTTCTGCAGTACAAAGCATTCATTTGTTCTGCAATAACCTTTATTCATCAGATATACAGAGGTCTGATGATGGCTGTTAAGGTCACCGAAAGACAGCAGAACTGAAGACCACATAACGACACGCCTGTGTAAGGGCTCCCTTTATAAGTGTAACATGTCAAGGGACACTAGTACAGGTGTATTTTTAGATTTGTGTTATACAGTCATCCTTATGTACAGTTCCTCTGTTTTAAGAAATATAAAACATTTGATATTTTAGGTTTACTTTTTCTTCCAACCTAGCTTATTGGGCAAATATTTTTAAAATGTCGATTCAGCGATGTCTTTTTGGAGCCTGTTGTACTCTGTCACCATATTGATAATTGAAAAAGATTATGTTTCTAATTGCAATCTGTTTTTTTTCCTGTAGAATAATCAAGCTGACTTAGAGAATGCGACAGAAGTTCTGTCTGGATATCTGGAAAGGGATATTTCACAGGATTCTCTTCAAGACATAAAGCAGAAAGTACAAGACAAGTACAGGTATTTTTATTTTGATGCATACTCCCATTTTGTGTGGCACAGATCACATTAAAGCAGGCCAAGACACCGTATATAACTAAACCCATTGCTTTGATTTATGACAACAATATATTTCCTTCTGTAATTCTTTGTACCTGTCCACATAAGGCAGCAGTCTTCATCCCACTGTGCTAAGAATGGGTTTTGCTAAGCAAATTTACAGTATACTATACATGTCCTAAAGAGTTTTTGTATACAAGTGTTCATCTACAAATGTGTCTAATGGGGAAAAACCTTGGGGAGAGGAACTTCTGAAATTTCTACACATGCCTCATAAAGAAGCAAAAAGTATTGTTTTCTGATGACTGTATAACGCTAATGCATACAATAGATATCTATATTTTTTTTTATTAGCCAAAGTGTGCTCATTCATTGAATGGTATGAAGTGGTGACACGTCTGTTCAGTGACAGCAAGTGAAGATGTGTGCAGTGGTTGCGAATAAATAAGTGCACATTGGTGAATTGTTAGTAAGTGCAGACGTTTGCATCAGTAGATTGGCAGCAAGTGAATGAGAGTGCGTGTTGGTACTATTTTGAGTGCAGAATTGAGCGTTGGTGCAGTGGCTGCGAGTGCAGAGGTTTGCTTCGTGTAGAAGCAGCCAAGTCTTCTGAGTGTGACTTGAAATGGGTGGCATGGTTTTGACATGCAGTAAAAGCTCCAAATTTTTCTATTGTCCATTGAGGGGCACCGCTTCGTTATAATTAAGCAACCTAGGGGTTATACTTCCACCTACAGGGAAATGGAGATTAGGCACATACAAAGCTTAAGGCTTACTCGCTTGAGGCTACAAGTCCTCCCACCTCATATCTGCTCATTTATGCTTACTGTCTTCAAAAGAATGGATGTTCCCCTTGTTTCTGCTTTTGTTTGCTTGTATTGCAGATCCTTCCGAATTTTCAGTCTGAATACCCTCTCCATTATTTTATTGGATCAGGAGTATTCCACTACCCCCTTTTACATGACTATATGGGAACAAGACTTGCCCCATCAGGTTACCAGAGATGATCTCCAAAAGATTTTTACAAACTTGGCATTTCCTCTGCAGCTCAGGAGAAAAATTATAAGATCCTGACGAGATACACTTTGCAAAAAATATTTCCTTCTGCCTGACCTAGGTGCTGGTGATGTGAGAGGGAATGGGGCTCTATTCTACACTTGGTGGTGGTGCTGCCTTTTGATTTCCCCTTTCTGGTCACAAATATTCACTATATATGAAAATGTTGTGGGACTCAAGCTCCTAAAAACTCCTGAAATTGCTCTCCTCTCCCTGATGACAGGTTCATTCTATTGCCACAAAGGGCATTTTGAGGTTCCTCCTGATAGCCTCCAGAACCATTATCCCTAGACATTGGAGGTCAACTCTACCTCCCTTTGTCAGAGTGGATCGTTGACATTACCCATTTCCAATGCATAGAGGGATCAACAGCCTTACTTTATGGTGGGTTTTAACAGTACACCTCCACATAGAATGTGTGGATTGCTTTCATTAACTCGGCCCGATTTAGGGACATCGTACAGTGACATTAGCATATTGGAAATTAGTTTGCATGTCACTTCTCCCTAGTGGCCATCCTGTTTCTCACCCCATCCCCACTTTGCCCCAGATCCTTCCGTTCTCTCCTATCTCTTTCGTTTCTTCCTCTTCTCCTATGTCCCTTCTACTCTTAATTGTTCCATCTTCTCAGTTGCATAGTTTGGCACATATATATGCCTCTTGCACTTTTCTACCTGGCTAGGCTACCTGAGAGTAGCCTAACGACTAACCCACTTGACCTTATTTACACACTAGGGCTTGTCTATCTGGAGTAGTGTGGGTAAATTTGCTTGTATGGAGTGTATTTCCTTGTGTTTTTTTTCTCCTACTCCGTACTTATTGTCGCACCTACGGAACAACTTTTGACTCTGTTGCCTTTATCTGTGATGCAGTCGGAAAAAAAATTTGAATACGGCTTAAAGAACAGCTAAATGAGACCAGATAAAAAGTAAAAATATTTTAAATTGAATGTGCATGGACTGCATTGTTGGCAGCCCTCTAATAGTGCTAGTTACCTGGTTGTATCTAGGTTCAGCTGAGTCTCAGTCTTGGGAACAGGCATGCAGCAAATAGGTGTCGGAGAAATGTAATTATTGCTTATCTCTACTTTTGGGTCAATGAGCATATTGAAGCCAGATCATTAGCACTAAGCCAGACAACTAGCATTTTAATAGTGATGTCAGCAATGATATCCTTCATAATACATTTGTGACAGGTTTTCTTCAATGTTGCCTCATAGTAACCATTTTTGTTCTGCTTGATTTTGTTTTCAGATACTGCGAGAGCAGGAGGAGAGTTCTGCTGCTTCATGTGCACGAAGGTTATGAAAAGGACTTGTGGGAATATATTGAGGACTGAGCCGTCGCCACAGACCAACCTCTGTTGCCACCTGACACTAGATTTCAATGCCCATTAAAATGCAAATATGCACCCTGAGGCCGACCCTGCACATTCTGCCGTCTCCCCATTTCCTCTCTTCCTCTCATCTCTTATGCTCCTGCCAGACTTTTGGTTTATTTTTATTCCTTTTTTGTTTTGTTTTTTTGAAAGTTTAAGTAAATTATGTTGTAATAATTAAAGGAAAGCAGCTAGCAGAGGCAATGGTTTGACAGTATTGTAGGCATGTTTAACCCCTTGCCACACAGCGACTGGCAAAACCTTGATCTTCTTGGAAAAATGTCTGACAAAGTAATGCTGGTCCCTTTTGTTTCTAAGGGGTTAAAGTGTGTGCAGCCCCTCAGCTATTTGCGAATGCATTTTCTTAACTGGCTTGCCCTAATCAAGCTGATTTCCCTTCCACTGCCCTCTACAGAAAGGCAGTCTCCTTTTTTTCCACACTTTTCCCGGTTGTCCCTTTCCACATGTCTTCTTCTGTCCTGCGTTATGCAAGTCTGTCGTCTTGCCACTGTTTAGCCATCCTTCTCTTTTACCTATTGTCTTCAGGCTATCCCTGGCACCTTTTCTTACCCCGGGTTGGAGCTGAACAGCTTTGAAAATTTGAAAAAAAATAGAAGAAAAATAAAAAATAGCTTTGTACATGACTTTTAAAAACAAAACAAGATTAAACTGAACAGAAGACAGCAGTATTTTTCAAACTTGTAAATAGTGCATCTGCATGAGCAGGAAGGAGGTGGGACGCACGGTGTTTGCATCATGTTTAAGTACAAACAGAAAAAAAAAATATTTATTCTTTCTTGACGATTGCTGGTTCTGGTTGTGCTGTTTATTCCTGAGATCTTGTAGAGTGGCCACAGCGTAGCTTTTTAGCAGGTAACAGTTCCCTAAAGTCACTGTGCACAATACAAGATCGCCTAGTGTCATTCACATTGACAAACTGTGTTACTTCAATTTTTAAATGTCTGTGCATACAGAAGACCCAAGCCTATAGAGTTTTTGCTCTCATTCTCAAGAGTGTCTACAGAAAAAAAAAAATACATCTGTCTGCCACTCTAACTCCAAGGAGCAATTCAAGCTGCCGCTTTTGCACTGAACTTGGCCAGTTTGGCTGAAGCAGAAATATATACACAAATGAGGCTTTGTACAGAAGGATGGATGCCTACTCTACATTAGGAGTCCATTTATTTTTACGTCTCTATGGAATGATTGAAGTGTTTGTGGGGGAATGTTTTTCTTTATGCTGTAGTTTTCCTGCAGCTCTGAATGTTTGAAGAGGCATTGTAAAGTAGGTCAACGTAATACATACTTTTTGAATTTGGGATTGAAGAAGTATTTGAGAAACATATCATTAAAAACGTAACATAAGGCATAAACCTTTTCTGAAAGAAAAAAAAATTAAAATGCCATTTCCCCCCCCCCCCCAAAGTTTCTTTGTCTGAAGATTTTCCAACAAGTGATGGCAAGAATCATCTTTTATGCAGTATTTAACAGCGCTCATACACCGCTTGGTTGTTGGCAGATGGTTGGTTTATAAGCAGAACCTCCATATTTCCTCGGCAATATCGTAGAAAAGGATGCAATAATATGAGACAAAATACTCAATTCACAAAGCTATGGATTACTGCATTGCCTTATACAATAAGCATAACTACGTTTAAAATGGATTGAATGGTGTCAAGTGATCTGTAGCTTAAATATTTAGAAAGCACAATGCTTTATCACAATAGATTAGTGAGTACACATCTATAAGCCAAATAAGAAAATGCTTTGTTAGCCTTCACACACAAACAAGAAACATTAAATTGCTGGGTAAGGGATTTTTTTTTAATTTGGCACAGACATGCTACAATATGTGTTTTGACTGGTGTGAGTAATGTGCTTCTTCAAACCCCCCTTCTGGGAACAGGTTTACTATCCACATGGTGTGCAAAAAAGGCCTACCTTATAGAGTGTTTGTCACTAGTAGAGAAGCAGAATCCATTCAGAGTCTCTGGAGCAGAACGAGTATTTGGTTCTGAAGTTTAAGGAAACCTGAAGCGTCACATGTTTATTTCCATACACCTTCAGTCTTTTCTCAGTATAAGCACCACCAAAATGCCCAAGTGCACTGATATGCTTACCTTTTTTAAGCAGTGATTTAAAAAAAGCCTGTCCAGTCTTCCCTGTCCCCCCCCCCACCACCACCACCACCACCACCATCCCAAGCTCTCCCTGTTGGCTCATTACTGCTATGGGAAGCATCACTGTCAAAGAGTGAGACACATGTTAGGAAAGGGTTGGTACTAGGATACCAACCCATCATTCCAGGAAGTTAAGGTAAATCAGTATTTAGGCATTCCTGGTATCCCCAAGATCTTTTAGCTGATAAGGGACCTAATGTGCAGGTGCCTGCTATGGGTTGACAGTGCTGGACTAGGTAAGTTTATAATACCTTTTGCTTTAACCAGCTCCCTTCCTGGTAAGAGGTGACATGACAAGCTTTGTGTACTACTTAATCAGGTAAATACTGACAAGCTTTGTGTACTACTTAATCAGGTAAATACTGTCAAGCCTGAACAATATTTATGTAAGTGCTAACATGCTTACAGCTAATACAATACTTGAAATTAAAGTGACTAAACTCAGGAGTTAAATCTTAAATGCATTAATTTACCTTAACTATAAACAAAAATGTATCTCATTTGTGTATCATTCGGCTGCAGATCCTCAAATCATCTCTGAATTTGTGCTGAGACTGTCCTTCCTTCTGACTTTTGTTCTCCATATCCCGTTTTGTTTTTTTTTTAATCCTTGTTCATTAGCAAAAACAGTAAAAGGGTTTCAAAACAGCATAGGATGCTCGCACGTACCAAGCCAAGATAAAGAGTCCATGAAAAAAAAGAGGAAAAGGGCCTCCAGCCCCGTGACTCCTGAGACGGCGGTCAACAGAGCAGCTACCGGGTTCAAGTCCAGCTCAAAACACCTACCCAGAGTAAGACCTCACTGAGTAAAGGCCGAGGCCATGATCCGCAAATAGGGGTCAGTGGTGGTACTATTGCAACAAAGCTCTCTAGGTATCAAGAAATCCCTCCTCTGTATTGTGTACAGTGGCAGTAAGATCTTCCATCAGATCTTATTGACCTTAGAGAGCCATATTCACAGTGAGGGAGAAAGGGATAATTTCCAGAGCATGGGAATACATTCCCCCGTGGCATTGAGTAGATGAATGGACATGGGATCTTTAGTTACATGTAATAATTTGGTTGTGTAAAGGAAACGCCACAGGATTCAGCTGCAGCTTCGGCACAACCATTTGATTAATAATGTCGCGCACCTCGCTCCATACCTGTTTTGGGGTAAGGCACGAACAAAAAAATATGTAACATGGTACCCACGGCAATTCCACATCTCCAGCAGGTTGAGGGAATCGCAGGGTTAATCTTATGAAGGACACGGTACCATAGTAAGACGATTTTGTACCCCTGTTCTACTGGCAAACATCTATGGGCAAAATAAAGGATTGTATCTTGCTGTTGGGGAGAGAAGGAGGTCCCCAATTCACTCTCCCACTGTGCAAAAAAAATGGAGGAATAAACTAAGTTGGGGCAACCAAGAGCTTGTAGACCAATGAAAACGCATGGTGAACCGGCACCCCCTGTCTGCAAATGTCCTCATAGGCTGTCAGGGATCTCCCAAGTTCCAAAGCGGAAGTGATTGCAAGCAGGAAATGTCTGAGGTACTCCAGATATCCAATGGGGGATCTGTGGAAGCTGAAGAAACGAACGGCAGCCATTGACCATCAGCATACAAATCTCCGAATCTAAATTTAAGCATCACCACAAGACCGTGTAAACGCCTATTGTGCAAGCTCCGCAAACAAGGGAGGCCAATCAAAGTTATTGAAGCTTCAGCCTCCATAAGCACCCATTGTTTGTTTTGAGAATGGCAGCACCAATCGACCACTCTATTAAGGTGTACAACCTTAGAGGGCCACGTCCGGCAAGCTAATACCACCAGCACGATTTAGGAAGGATAAGCAGGCGTTGGCCAATTCTAGAAGCAACATGCGCTCAAACAAAAGTAGAGAAAAGATGACAGCCGGGAAAAGAATTGAGGTAGGCGAATAGGCAGTGCCTGCATGAGATACAGGATCTTAGGGAGAGTCAACAGCTTGGGGGAACTGCACCTGCCAAACCAGGTCACCGTAAGGGCATGCCAAGTCTGAAGTTAGTCTAATGGTCAACAACAAACTAACGAAGGCTTCGTACAGCAAAGATGGATCAGGAGTGATATGAGTGCCGAGATAGGGCAACAAACTAATCTCATTGGAAAGGGAACTGAGCTCGGGGGGGGGGG